GGGTGGGTGGGTGTGTGTGTGTGTGTATATAAAATAAAACATGAAGCACCATATTAAAAAACACCAACCTATTCAATGATCTTACAAGTAATTAGTATTTTAAATTAATAGCTGTGCACATGACTTGATTATTAAAAACAAATCAGATTATTACTAATGAAGTATAAATATATATAAAAGTCTGATAAGAATAAATTATGTTATGGTGCCAATCTATTTATTTGGACGTCGGTGTGTTCGATTCCCACCAGAATCACTTTTGGGAACGTACTTAGTATTCGGTACGGTAACACGTCAGGTAGGGCAAAACATCACTCATATAATAAATTATTGTTTATTAATTAATTATTTAAATATGTATGTACAATTAGAGATTGAAAATAATTTAATCATACAGGTTGCATTTCCAACAGCGATATATACTTCTGATTTTGTACTACTGTATAGTAGGCCTATTGTACACACATACTCCCACACACCTACACCCAACCATACACTTAGTGTAATGCCGGTGATAGAATGATGGCATGCAAATCATTTATGATTTTTTAAATACAGATAATTATTATTATTATTATTATTATTATTATTATTATTATTATTATTATTATTATTATTATTATTATTGTTATTATTATTGTTATTGTTGTTATTGTTGTTATTATTGTTGTTATTATTGTTGTTATTGTTGTTATTATTGTTGTTATTATTGTTGTTATTATTGTTGTTATTATTGTTGTTATTATTGTTGTTATTATTGTTGTTATTATTGTTGTTATTATTGTTGTTATTGTTGTTGTTGTTGTTATTGTTTTTATTGTTGTTATTGTTGTTATTGTTGCTATTGTTGCTATTGTTGCTATTGTTGTTGCTGCTGCTGCTGCTGCTGCTGCTGCTGCTGATGCTGCTGCTGCGGCTGCTGCTGCTGCCGCTGCTGTTTTGTTGTTGTTGTTGTTGTTATAATAATAATAATATTTGGGGAAATGATAGTCAAGTGAGCATTATTTTATGCAACTCCCTAAATTGATAGCGTTTTTGCATTATGTTTATGTCGTTTTCCATTGTTTTAGGTTATTGATGATGGGGAACTGTCCGAGTTCGACTCAGCTTATGTTTTGCTTCAAAATCGCAATTCGTTTGTGCGACATCTGTTGAAGGAAATGAACAGCTTTGAGAGAAAACGGCTTCTTGGGATTGCAACTTCACATCATACATGCGTGAGGAATTAATTCAATATTGCTTTATGGCATTCACTCCGAATACGGCTTTGGACCACTCTACGTAAAGTGTTAAGAACTTAAATTTACTGTATATACTTTGTTAATTCGTACTTGTGGGTGCCTTATTTACTTCCCCACGCATCTCTGTCTAGATCAGTTTGCCGCGTTCGGTGCTCGCATTTTTCTGAATGTTAAGCAGACTCCGATGAAGTCCAGAAAAGAATTCTTGATTCTGGTTCATCATAATTTACATAATTATTAAATGATTATGTTGTAATACTGTATACATATGCCTATTTATTATAATACTTTATGTTTTTGAGTACCGTAATCACTCTATAATGTTAATGGAAATAGTTTATGGAATGCATTAGTCTGTACTTGTGTAATTACCATAAAATCGTTTTAAGATAATGAAAATTAGTTCATAAAAGAATGATAATAATATATATATATATATATATATATATATATATATATATTAATTAATCTAAATTTGTTTTATTGTTTAGCATGTACATTACCGGCTGCATTAATAAGGTATAATCGTTTTATTTATGATCGTCCTTATAAGCATGACGAAGAATAAATCAATAACATTTATATGAGATTTATATACTGGTAAAAGTAAGACTACATTCATATTTTGATTTACGATTTTGAACTCAATTATTTCTCTCGGATTTGATTGACCTTTGATGAGAGTTAACATATTTAGTCCTTGTTCGTTTGGTAAGGTTGATATGTAGGAAATTAAATCCATATATTCTTTCAATTGTATACAATTGAAAGAATATCAGGATTTAATTTCCTACATATCAACCTTACCAAACGAACAAGGACTAAATATGTTAACTCTCATCAAAGGTCAATCAAATCCGAGAGAAATAATTGAGTTCAAAATCGTAAATCAAAATATGAATGTAGTCTTACTTTTACCAGTATATAAATCTCATATAAATGTTATTGATTTATTCTTCGTCATGCTTATAAGGACGATCATAAATAAAACGATTATACCTTATTAATGCAGCCGGTAAATCTATTTCAATATCTCGTATCCATGTCGAACAGTGATAAGTAACCATACAAATGAAGCTGTAATGTACATGGTCTGTAGTTTTTTGAAACCTGCTTTCGATCCCAACTTGTGTCCTGTACGGTAAAAAATGATCACAGTTCATATTACAAGTATGTCTGTTTCTTTATACAGCAATAGCATGCCGATATTATAAGATAGGGTACACTTACAGTTTAACCTTAAAGATTTTTCATTTTCATTCGATATCCATAAACACAAAACATAAACAAGTTTAAAAAGCAGGGGTTCATTACCTGAAGATTGCAAAAGTAGCGACACCCCATCACCTTGCACAGTTCCAGTGTTAAGCGATTGGAAGTCAAAATTGTACCGCTTGCAATGTGTCATTACTGTGTCACTTGATAACATCATTTAAATCAATACTGATGGTATTATTGTTATCTTTAATTTTAGTATATTACAAAATCAATTCTAAACTTTGCCAAAGAAAATACAATAATATTGAATACTAGTATGTTTCATGAAATCTGGTTGGCGCCATTTAAATGCAAAATTATGCCGTTTATGAATAAGAATTGACTCCTGGTGTAGTGATTTTCTTAATGTAATCATTTAAGTGAATAATAATCCTACTGAAAACACATAAATACTTAAATGAGCGTCACTGTCGACTTTTATGCAACTCATGTCAACACTATCCCAGCTAGCAAGCGACGTTGACCCGACGTTGGTTGAAGGTCGAAAAATTACGTTGGCACAACGTACTTACACAAAGGTTGGCGCGACGGCCGTTTTTCCATCGGCCCAACGTGGATTCAGCTGGTTGGAAAGACGTCGGCCCGACTAGTTGGATCTACGTTGGCCCAATAATGTTTGTGCAACGTCGACCAATCACGTTGGCCCAACGTACCTTTCTGATGTTGCCTAGACGTTCATTTTTCCATCGGGCCAACGTCGATTCAGCCAGTTGCAAAGACGTCTATCCGACTAGTTGGATCAACGTCGGGCCGACGTTGGTTGAAGGTCAAATAATTACGTTGGCATAACGTACTTACACAAAGGTTGGCCCGACGGCCGTTTTTCCATCGGCCCAACGTTGATTCAGCTTGTTGGAAAGACGTCGGCCCGACTAGTTGGATCAACGTCGGGCCGACGTTGGTTGAAGGTCAAATAATTACGTTGGCACAACGTACTTACACAAAGGTTGGCCCGACGGCCGTTTTTC